TGGCGATCAGGAACTCAACACGAGACCTAAACCAGCACCAACTTTCATCCCCTCCCTGCCTCCAGCCCTCTACTTCCTTCCCCTCCCCTCCCCTCACCGTAGTTCCCTCGCGAGTCAAGTTGCCAAATAGCGCAAAATGCTGTAGCTTCGTTAATGTAGCCCCGACTTTAGCAGATGAAAAAACAATAATTCCGACGCAGTTGTGGATGCCTGTAGTGTACAATTGCATCTTCTCTTAGTAGTCTCGAAAACTATCCAGGCGCACGTTCACCATGTAAAACAGAACTGCAAAAATATGAAACAAATAGTAAAACTTGCCGGATTGTGAGGAGGATTCTCCCGGCAACGTTCACAGCTCAAAAATCCCGGGCGTTGAGGGGAATACGCCGCATTTGCAGCTTCCATTGTACCCGAGCTCACAGTCGACACCTCAGCAACTGCCTGTGGTGGAAATGCTGCGGCAGCAGATCCGCTGTCAAGTGTCAGATGGCTCATCTGGGCAGTGAGGTCGTTCAACGGAGCACCACTGCCATAACCTTCAAATGATTCAGAAAACCGATAAAAATCGTCCTTAGATCTGGAAAGTTACAACTTCTTGCAGGCGCAGGACGATAATGCTCTTCGTGGAGCATCTAAGGCAACTGCTCAAACCCTGCTCCGCCTGGCTCAGTTGCGCAAAATGCATTCGTTTTCAGGCTTTGGAGACGGTTACGAAAATTTTTTGTAGAAAAGCTAGTAGTTAGGCCACCGATGCACTGGTCCGATCCGCCAACTCGATTATATGGAGGAGTATTGTGGATGAGGTGAGCTCAGGAGAGGACTCGGTGACGTGACTGTCGGCTTAATCACTGGAGGACCAACAGTGCGCCAGTGACGGAAACGCCATATCAAGAAGGATCAAGGATATAAAGATTGGATTTTCTGCTTCAGCGAGATTTTGGAATGACAGAGCATCTAATTTTTTGCTTAGCATCATAAATCTATATAATCCATAATTCCCACCCCCTACCTCCAGCTGCTACCTCCAAGTAAGACCTCAGCTTCTTTCCAGCCAATACTTCAGCCCTTTCCTCTTGCTACGATTCGTCACCAGTCGAACCAGCATCTCTGGGAGCCCCCCCCCCCCTTCCCCCTTCCGACCCACTTCTGCCTTACTCCGTCATCTGAGGGAGAATACTACGATTACCGCAAGCATCCTCCCAAACCCAGCAGGGTCTAGGCGAGTTTTGATGAATGCCGTATCTGCCAATTTCAAAATCTTGGTCCAGTCCAGCAAGCCGCAAGCTTGAAAGTGATCTTGGCACTGAAATAAATCTTCGCTTCCTCTACCCGAGGGTATTTAAGCCTTCTCCCCCCTCCCCTTCACCCCTTCGCCCCTCTCCGTCAGCGACTTGTGCTACGAATCTTGTCACTTTGATATACTGTAAGCAGTAGTACGCTTTCCTCCTCTTCCTCTCCTCTCCCGTTCCCCGTCCCTCCTTCCCCCCAATACAACGTTCTGTACCTGAGGAATCATATGAATTTTTCAAATGTAACTTAGAAAGAAAAGCAAAAGAATGAACCTGGGGGAAAGGAAAAGTACCCAGAGGGGAAAAGACTGTCGGTAGAAGATGACGGTGGCAGATGATATCCATTACTGAGGAGTCCGAATCTGTAACCACCAAAATCATTTTGCCGTGTTGTGTTGTTCTGATTTTCGATATGGTTTCCATCGAGATTGTTTTGCCCTGTTGTGTGACGTGGCTAAAATACAATTTTAGGAACAGATCAGCAATAACATTTACCAGGATCTTCGGGTATATCAGTGGGCGTCAGGTAACACTGCAAAATCTACAACTTTTTGGTCAGCTTAAATCTGGAGTTCGCACGGTGCCAGTTTAAATTTTGATGTGTACGCACGTGAGATCTAGGGGTGCATTAAGGTTGAATTTGAAATCTTTGAATTGGACGCGGCCAAGGAACATCTTTGTGAAGTTCCAGCCTTCTAGCTTACGTCGCTCCCGAAATCGCTTTCCCGCCAAAAAAACTTTCACGTACTCGCACTGGAGAACCACGTGGACGTGAGCGTTTATTCTGATGATGGGGATTCATATATATATATATGTGTAAATCAAGTTGTCAAAGTTTCAGCCTTGTAGCTTTTGCAGATCTCGAGATGGAAACTCGGTACAGACGCACACACACGCAAACACACACACACACACATAGACACACGCACAGACAACCCTTCGACAATATGCGTTTTTACATTGCATCGATGCAAAAAACACGTAAAAAACTTCAAAAAACAGGACTTACATCAACTTCAAGATGTTTTATGTCGCAATACGAATGCATTGACATCTTTGTTCACTGCTTATTATTATTGTTGCCAAGAATTAATGATAAGCAAAAGTTGTTATTGCTGAAAATAAGCAGCAGTAAATTTACCAAGTCCGTCCGAGCAATCGCTATCGGATATTCCACGTCAGTGATGTTACTGGAATGCTCCTACACGCCAAGCACAGCTATGCCAGGCCCCTCGATCCTGTGCTGCATACCTTCATTGCTAGTATCCACCGTCTGTTCGATGTAGGTGCGCAACTTCTTTGCGGGCCATCCGTGTGGTCCTTAGCCTTGGCACGAGTACCACTGACCAACA